AATTTGTCCGGCCCGCCATATTGGATCCGCCATTTTGAATTTCTAAAATCTGACAATGGATTCGTAATCAGCGCCCCAAAAAAATTCCTGCGTATCAATTGTCAAACAAAAATAGTTAATTCTTCGCCTTACCATATATTTATTCTTAAAAACATTTTCTTGTGTTTACTTATTTACTATTAGCAATAATAAATTTAAAGAATTTATAAATAATCACAATTATTTTACACTAGTTAGGGTCTTAAGAAGCTAGAAAATATAATTGCTAAGAAATCGATAATTAAAACTGCTCATAAAATATAAAAAACTAACGGAATATAGATGGGTTTCTGGATGTCCGCCTGCGCCACAAAGGGTTAATGGTTTTATTTGATTCCAAGAGCTCATAGTACAGCACACCCTTCTGGTCCCACCATATACAGAGAACTTTTTTTCTAAAACGTTTGGGTTTTGCTGCCAACGTTGTCAATTGACCAGGGTCATGATTTTTTGCGTTTAGGATTTTCATACGTAATCCATTTTTCATCACCAATTACGATTTTGTGGAAAAAATCTCTTTTTGTTGTCAATAGGTAGCTCGTATGGAACTACTATACCTACTTCCTTCCCTTCTCCCATACGATGTAAACGATCGCAAGTAGCTTTCTGTTTTACTCCCGCAAATTCTTGTTGTGTTTGTGCCATATTTTCGTTCAGTAGCTTCTGCAACTCCTCGTCTTCAAATCTTTTTGGCTGACTGGAGCGTAATTGGTCGTCTGAGGATGTCTGATGATTCCACCGTCGCTAGGAAACAAAAAATTAAAAAACTGCAATTGACTGTTCGAATTAAACAGTCACATTTGTGAAAGGAGAAATAACACACTCAGTCAGTATTTTCGCTATTACTTCCCGTGAAACTTTATTCGTTTTAAGAAACGAAGATTTAGAGGAACCTTAAAAGATCACTGAGATCGCTCGACAGAACCTGTCTACTCCAAACTAATCGAGCTCGTTTATCCAGCAGAACGCGATATCGGCCGTAATATCTTCATCACCGTGGGAAGATCGCGACGCAGCGATGAATCTAATGCGAGTCTAAGGCGGCACTGATATTTAAATGCAAACGAGACCGCGCGCGGTCGGACACAGCCGTCGGTTGGTCGCTCGCGCGCGCCCGCTCACCATTTGATTAACATTTTCGTCGTGGGTGGCGGCCGGAAACTTCAGCGTTCCGCGGAAGATCCGCGAAATTACAAATTTTCATTAAAAACTTCGGCGGGCGCGCGGTCCCCGCGTAAGTCCCGGGCTGCCGTCATCATCGCTACCGCGTCACGCTGAGGACGGCTATGTGGACGGTTTTCCTCGCGGTCGTTCGTCTGTCGCGATTAATATCTCGGGCGCAGCACGTGTGTATCGTCGGCCGCGAACTATGCTCACCGACGAACTGCTTAAAATTCCTCGCGCGCCCATTACGTATATGCATAAACGCGCCTGTAAATATGCACGGCTAACCCGCAGCGCCGCTTTCGAGGATCGGCTGCCGAGTTGCAGCGGAAGAATTCGCGTGGCGGCTCCGCCGAAATTACTTCGCCTGCAGAAGCTTCGAGATAATCGCACACATATGGGGCACACATATGGGGCAAGGTTGCCGCCATTGGACCAACACCTTCATTGGACCACTAAAATAGCTGAAAAACTAAATACATAAGTGTGACGATTTGTTTACTCGAAAAGTTAGCTCACATCCTCTGCAACTTTCAACGCAACACCCTACCGCCGCGAGCGTCATTACTGATCGACATGTATCAACGTGAATTGATTTAACAAATATTTTATTAACCTAACCTAACTTAACCAATCAAATAATAGTAAATATAAAATTTCGAGGATTACTATATATATTTTTTTGGAGAAGTGTGAACTATTCGAATTCGAATCGAATCGAATCGAATCTAATGTACTCGTAATTCGATTCGCTTCGAATCCGAATAATACGAATAGGAATCAAATACATTATCGTTTGCGTGCATCAGCTACAAAACGGGCCATCTGGGCCTGTATGTTTGAACCCTTAACTTGTAATTAACTTAACTAATAATTAATAACTTAATTATAAATTATTTTAAATATTTAAATATATATTTTACTTTAAGATGATATTACATCAATATCAATAATTCCCTTTCATATTAAAATCTTCCATCGTTATTTGCATGTTTAATAGTCATGTTAAATTTTTTAATGATTCAATACGATTTCATTCGATTCGAATTCGAATGAAATTTCATAGATTCGATTCGATTCGAAATCGAATTTAAAAAATGAGATTCGATCCGACATAAAAATTCTTGATTCACATATCGCTAATTTTTTTAAGTTTTAGTCACATAATATATTCAGCTTAATATTTTATGGAGAATTTTAAAAATTTCTTGTAACATAACCTAATTTCAATTTATGTTTGCGATCTTATTCCTTGTTACTACTATTGAATTATCTATAAGTATCTACAATTTAATTTGTCCAGAGAAGGAATTAAACTAGTCTTTATGTTTTTTTATTTGTAGAATGTAGATTGTAAAATGTGATTGAGTCACCGATGGAAAATAAACCTGAGCAACCCCATAAAACATTCACTTATAAAAATATTTTTGCACATTTTGCAAGGCTTAAGAAGACAAAAAGATTTTGTTAGTTTTTATTTTAACTTTGATCTCAGAGTTTAATCAACTTAATTATCAAAGAAGTCTTTATGCTAAAAATATTATTATATATTTGAGATATATCAGGCTGGCAAGAACGTCATGTCATTTTCTTTTCTGTGTTAATGAAAAGCGATTTTTCCATACAAAGCAAAAACTTTATTCTATAATATATTGTCCATTTAATTCAATGACCTTTTGTCATCTGTTTGGTAGCTTCATGATTCTGGCCTCATAGAACTTCTGATTCTTATCGGGACGCTTCTGCTTGATTGCCTCGTACAATTTGTCCAATTGACGACAGTACAATTTCAAATCAATCGTTTGATTACGTTTAAGCAGTTTAAAAAATATAAAATACTCTTGTAATTCCACCAAATAGATAGCAAAATCTTCCTCTAGTGAATGTCTAGTTTAGAAGATGTTTTGTCGCGGCTCATCACATTTGCTTCATGATTTTTTCCGTTCCATATTGTCGTAAACAATCCATTTTTCATCGCCAGTTAATATTCGTCTCAAAAACGGATTGTTTTGCTCATGTTTCAGGAGAAAATCGTTGATACTGATGCGTTTGGTGAAATGAATTTTTTTGAGCTCGTGTGGAACCCAAATATCGAGTTTGTTGACGTATCCAAGTTATTTTAAATGGTTTTCAATACTCGTATGTGATACGTTTAGCTTCTCAGCGATCTCCCGTGTCGTATAATGGCGGTTGGATTCAAACAATGTTTTTATTTTATCGTCATCAACCTCAATTGGCCGACCTGACCGTGGTGCATCTTTCACAGAAACATCTTCTGAACGAAAACGAGCAAATCAACGCTGACAGTGGCGTTAAGGATTCTTCGCCATGTACAACACATAACATTCGACGGGCTTACATAGCGTTCTTTCCTTTTTGAAAGCAAAAAAATAAAATATGGCGAAAGTGCTCGTTTTGATTTAGACGACGTTGTCTAGACAAAACGAAATGGGACTTTTATGTTTGTCTTCACCCAATCTACCTTCACACTTCGGGTTGGCAGCTAATTGCCGGACACCCTGTGTAAATATTAATATCACATAGTTTCATTTATAAGTTAATAATGTATAATTATGTTGCTTTCAAATAAAATAAGTTGTTTTTTAAATAATATATGCGGTTTCGTTCATGTGTCAATTTGACGCGTGTCCGTAAAGATAGGTATGTAAGAAATGTCCGTAAACTTAGTGTTAATGAATAAAGCCAACTATTCGTGAAAAACGACATGACTTTCTTGCCAACCTAATAGTTTTAAGATAAGATTGTCTATACAGAGGCTATTATTACTACCGTTTTGTTTCTTTTCACTGTATCATAACACAACGCTAAAAGTCAAATACCTAAATAATTCTAAGGATATAGACAAGCAATTATTTATAAAAAGTGACCTTTTCTCAAATACCTAATTTTTATTACGATAACATTTGTTCATAAATAAATATCTCATTCGTGAAATGTATAACTTAATTTTCTACTAACGATAAAAGTGGCAATGTGCCTAAAAAACGCCAGTGTTCAATCATAGTCACGAATCATATTTAATATTTTCTCAGATAACTCATAGTTATTGCTGACTTGCATCATACCAAATCTTTATTGAAATGTGTTTTACAAAAGGCTTTTGTAACAGCCTCCTCGGCTTAATTTTAGCTCACATCGTTTCAGAAATATTGCTCAAAAAAAGTGGCCCGATACTGACGACTTATTTTACACACACACAAACGCACGCGAATACACCGAACTAAAGACAACGGTAATCGAATCGAGCAGACGCGGTAGTCGTTATAGTTATCGACTGAGAGCGGTTTCACGGCAGCGGTCGAGAAACTCGAGCGCTCTGCCGTGGTCCGAACGCAAAAATCATCCTGACGAACACGTGCACTCGCGCGTGCTCCAGCAACGCATCTCGCTAATTCGCATCAGAGAAGAGTCTGTTTCACTCACACCGACGCATAACTCTCCGAACAACAGAGCGCACCTTCGCGATGCTCACCGGCGGCGACTTATCGGCCACAAATAGAATTCCGATAACGACACGATATGGCCTGTCTTATCATTAGGCTCGACATCGCTAACTCGCACTGCTCGGCGAAATTCGACATGGATTATTGTCTTACTATACGGTACAACAATCGGGTCGTTCTGCGGACATCTGCGAGAAACGCTAATATAGATAATTCGGTAGATGAATTCGGGCTGCGTCACGGTGGGGCTAACTAATCGTAACTCACGCGATTAACTCACCGCACGTCGCTGATTCATCAGCGACGATGCGCGTGGATCGTCGGCTGCGACGACGCGACAGTCGCGTGCGGTCACGGTCAGTATGCAGTATATAACGCGTAACGTACATCATAAAACTTGAATTCGTTCCAGGAATATTCAATAATTCATTAGAGAAAAGTGGCCACTCCTTTGTGCGAGCGCAGATTATGCAAGAGCCGATATCCTGCGCCAGATTTCATGCCAGTCTCTTAAGTCTAAAGGTAACTGAACGTTCGTTTTTTCATGTCGCTTGAGTGACATCGTATATTAGACGTGTATCATGAAAAATTGATTTAACCTTTCGTGTCCCATATTTTCTCTAGCTGAGGAATTTCTGTGAAATTTCACATTTCCATGTTTCTTGCCTCACTGATTACAAATCTGAAGCTAGATTTCAAAAAATTTACATGACAAATTCAATATGATTGTTATATAAGGGCTGATTTGTGTCTGAATAAATGTAAATCAGATATGCGCTATGAAGGTTTTTCAGATCGTTGATTACAAATTCTATGTCAAATTTACAAAAGTTTAAATAATTTATTTATGAAGAAAAAGTCTAGCGTGCAAAAAATTTTGAAAAAACATGTTATATCTTTACATGTGAAGAATATTTAATAAAAATTGTCAGCCTTTAATCTTAAATACTTTCCAAAAAATTAATTTTTTTAAATCACTTTTTTATCAATTTTCTTTGCTTATAGATAATTGAATATGAACAATCGGATATAAAAATCGGGAAATATATAAAGTAAATATTAATACAACAGAAAAATTGCTAACCGAACGCACTATAAGGAAATGACGTGTGAAATTTTGCAAGACAATAAATGGAATGTTTGAAAATGGAGATCTTGATGAAAAATTGATCATTTACACGGACGAGGCTATTCGTTTTCGACGATTTCTGGCTAAATGACATTAAAGACATTAATTGATTAATAGAAAAAGTTTTTACGAGTTTTTGCAGAAGATTTTTGTACAAATTCAGATGGTGCACACTTTGAAAATGTTTATCACTAGCATATTTTTCATCATTTTTCATCAATAAAATAAACTAATACACTAACATTTTTTTAAATTTCATTTATATCTATTAAAAACTCTATTAAAAAAAGAATGTCCTCTTTTCAACGCAATTTTTGTTTTTATAATAACTAAATACATTCGAAAATGACATCTGATTAGTTCCAGCAGTTTCCCAGTGGTCACCCTGTATATAAGTTCCCTATCAAGTAATTTGCAAATGGTTTCAGCCATTAATTGTTATTCTTTTTCTTTAAAGAAGTTACTAACAAAGAAGGTTTCCCTAAATGGAACATACATTTTTCGCAATAGATATTTAAATTAGGTTAGGTTAAGCTGTAGATGCTTTAGTGTTAATGAAACTTACTTCAACTTAACTCAACTATATATATATATGTGTGTGTAAAAAATGTACGTTCTACGTATTAAACTTTTTAAAATAATTTTTTAAATAAACAATAAGCGATGGCTAAAATCTTTTGAAGATTATTCGGAGAGATAACCTTCATAACATATATCATGGTCAAGGTCATAGAATCTGAGTCCCCTAATAGTTAAAAAGTTTACCCTCAACTCTTGCCAAAGTAACATTGAATTTTCCTCTGTCGCCTAATACATCCCACGCGTCTGACGCGTTTCGAGTGCATTTAGCGCTGTTAGGTAAATCCCATTTCCAAGCGCACACATCGCGCACGCGTTTACCTCATGGAAGAAGATGAAAGATCGCATGCGGAAAATGCGCCCGATAATCTGCGTCTATTATTCATGTGCAGTCATTACGCAGTGTCGCGACAGATCCCGACGTGTCAAGAGGAACGACCGACATCAAATCGTATCGCTTTCAGTTGCGTCGACAGATTGATGATCGACCATTGGCAGACGTATGCACAAAGGACTTTGGCCGGTATCAAACAGATGAAATAACGTTGTAGATAGCTGAGAGACTGACTTCGCAACTGGCTTTTCGCCGCCATAATTCAATGTGGCCACGGCTTGTAATCACATCACTGCGTCGTCTCTAATTGTACCGCGTGAGTAACCGGCGGCTGTCGTGTTAATCACTCTGTCGGCGAAAACTCACGCGATCAAAGTCAACGATGCGAACAGACTGGGATACAAATGCGTGCATTTGCAAATCCCAGACGAGCGTTCGCGTTTCTTTTACGCGATCATGCGGAGATAAAAGTCACGCGCGTTTAGTCGCCCGCGGAAACGGCGGAGGAAATCTCCCGCGGCTGTGTGAGACGCTCAAGGAATGCTTAGCTTGGTAAACATAAATTCGCCGATATCTTTGATCCATTAATCTCCCTTCCCCCGTCTACAAGCACTTTATGCATACACTCGGTCGCTTCGATGACCTATAAATAACATTAAGCAATCAAACTGGCACGCAGAACGTAATTCATCGGCGAAGTCCCGCCAGGAATGTCCTGGTTGTAACTCGTTATGACGTCGAGCTTCCCCGCCCTTCGAGTCGCCTTCCTTCGGTCGCGCGAAGATAGTATTATCGGCGCTTTACATGCTCGCCAGATCGGCGATTCGCACGCCGATAAATTTGCCACTTTTACGGATCATATCACATTTACCGTAAGTCGCGCAACCGCTTTTAGGCTGATGCTTCTAACCCCGAGATACTCTCCCACGTGTGGTACCCTCCTCGTGCGATTCATGTTACGTCCCTCATGTTACGTTAAATTAAACTTATTACATCCATGGAAATTTAACGAATTTGGGTATGACTTTAGTTTGATATCCAATGCCAATTTTGATGACACGTACAGTCATGTACATTAATTTGCGCCGCGAGAGAAAAAGCCATAAACATAGTAAATGCCTAGACTGCATGTTTAAGAAGTGGGGGTAAGGTTCAGTAGAAAAGGATGCACTTTTTTTTGTCTGTTTTTTATTTTTTTCCAATATAATGATCAACCTAGATCACTGTGCATTCAGCTCACCCCAAGATATATACAGGTAGGTACAGCCGTTGTGCTGTCGTACAGGTTAGCAACTGCCTCCCCTATTCCCTTTCCATCAAGAGTGTGCAAGAGAGAACGCACAGACAAAACAGAGTGCATCCTTTTCTACGTGCATCCTTTTCTACGTAAGCTCTACCCTCACTCTTCAAATTTGGAAGAACGCACAGTCTAACAAGGAGATGGCAAGACACGTAAAAGCGATCAGTGAATGAGTCATATTTCATTCGAATGGGGGGGTTGAGTATATAAAAACTCTAAAAGGGTTTGCGTACATGGGCCTTCATTAGCGAGAAGTTTGCAATTAAAAAAGCAGCTACATGTTAAGTACAGTAACTTGGAAACAATAATCATGAAGCGCGGAAGCCGCGGAAGCTAAGACGCGCGCTAGTATTTTGTCGTCTACGTCCGAGAAGTGGTTCGAGTCCTCGCAGTGGCAACTTTTTTTTTTATTTATAATATTATGTATTACTATATTTTATAATATTTCTATAATATTTTAAATATTTTTATTATATTTTATAGGACAAAAGTATAATGCACACATATGCAATAATATCTGTCTTATTGTATAAAAAATAACAAGAATAAACGCTTTAATTATTTATTATGAAATTGAATTTTATGGAAACGCGCATCTGCCTTAGAGACGCCTATTGTTTGGATTTACGGCTTATTCTGACATTCATATCCTATCGTGAAATAATTGCCATTGCAACCGATATGGTTACAATGCAAGAACGCTTCTTCTTTCGCGGCACGAATTAATGTATGTTACTGCATATGATAATTAATGTAGTCAAATATCAGAGATGGGTACATGCAAAAACGCTTGATTTTCGAGATATTTAAATTTTAAATATCCAAATTCACTAATTATTTTCAAGATTTCGATATGGAAAAATAATGGGAATTGAAAGATATTCAAGTACAAATTTTTATTTTATAGTCTATTACAAAACTATTAAATGCACGTATCAATATCTAAATAATAAGAACAGTTAAAATTTGATCTAATATATTTATATAATATATTTATACAATCAAACCTAATAAATATAATCGAACCTAATTTTTATTTCATTTTTTTGGTTAGCTTCAGTCGCTATTCAGAATTTATCAATTCAACCTAACCTAACTCAATCTAATAATAAAACTTAATAGGACTTCCGTTTCCGGCGACGAATAAGTGTGAGTTGAGAGTGACAGGGCGAGAATTAGACGAAGGATTCAGTGGCAAATAGTGAGTGTGGGGGAGAAGGGAAGAGTGTGGGAGATAGTAGGAGAGAGTAGGAACAAGGGTAAGAAAGGGCTGGAAGAGGAGGGAAATAGTGGAAAGGTGGCAGAAGAATGAGAAGAGTGAGCGGGCTGGTAAAGTTAGGAAGCGGGGAGAGTATGGACGGTGGAGAGAGATAGGTGATTGAGAAAGGTGGCGCAGACTGGTAGTGTGGTTGGGAACTAGGAGAGAGACGCGGAAAATTTGAAGGAAAGTAAGGTAAAAGTGGAGGAAGAAGAGAAGGGTGAGAGAATGGAGGAAGGCGGGAAAGGAGGGAAAGAGGTTGAAGAGGAGGGAAAGAGGGGGAGAGTAGGGTGGAGAAAAGGAGGGGGAGGCCAACGAACTTGATAACTTTTTCAATATTTAACTCACGATATCTCGTTAACTATTTGTCGAAAGAAAAAGTAGTACTAGACTTTTTTGCTCTACTTGGTCTCGAAAATATATTGTTACAATAGCGCCCTGACTTTTGTTAATTTGATGATTTTGAAATTTCCAAAAGTCAGTAAGTTAACAAAGTCAAGGCACTTATATATAACAATATATTCTTGTAATTAAAAAGAGTAAAAAAGCCTAGTACCATTTTTTTCGATAAATGATTAGCGAGATATCGTAAGTTAAATATTGAAAAAGTTATCAAGTTTTCCTTAAATATCTCAAAAAATATTAGGCAAATAAAAAATGTTTCAGACAAAAGTTATTAAAATTAATCGGTAGAAAAGGAAGATAATAAAAGAAGAAAATAAAAAATTAGGCTTTCTATTAAAAAAAAATTAAGTTGACCTTCAACTGACTTTAAAAATGCCCTTCAAGGTCAAAGTCAAGATCACCATCAGTTGACCCCCTACGATCTCCATAACTTTTTTGGACATTTTTCGATATTTCCATAATCTTCGAAGTTATCAGTGTGGATAAATGAAAATGGCCCATCCTGTATTTAGAAAAC